CCAACTTAAAGGATTCTATGATTCTGTATTGTTTGACAGGGAACAAAAAGCAAGAAGGGAGGTAGATATATACACAAAGATGGGAAGAAAACAAAGTGAACACAAGCTATACAAAACCTGATCTCGGATGGCCCAGGATTGGTCCGAACCGCATGGATGTAGCCCTCTTCCCTCCCCCCCTCCCCGCTGGGCTCTCCCCAGAGACAAAGAGAGACTGGAGCACTCACTTCCTGCCTCTTTTAAAGAGTGTGGAAGGGGGAGCGAATAAACCGCTTCCCCCCTGGGACCCTCCAGGGTCTTAGAGGTCACCTGTCCTGCCCCAAGCCTCAAACCACAACAGTGACATAGTTCAAGTGATAAATATGTAAGCAACAACCTCAGCAGTTATTGCTACACAGCATATTTTGACATTGGATCATGCTGAAGCAAAAATGATGGCTGCAGAAAAGAAAAGCCCCAACCAAATTGTCATAGAGTCAAAGCTGACCATCAGGCCTGGGAACATAGATTTGTTAGAGATCTCAAACACTTGGTGTTGATAAGAAACAGCTCTATTAATGTAGTCATGCATACTGACATCCATGTATATTTATAGTTGGAAGAGTGCTGTGCTTTGTAAAGGTCATATTGAAAGATCGGGGAGGAATTGCAGATGTACACGAACGAGAAAGTCATATGTTAGCAGAAGTAATTACTAATAAGTTTTATATTTTCATTTTCCTTGTAGTTTTGCTAATTGAGCTTTGATGTTGCTAAAAAAATACAGACGCTGCTCTGTTGCCATCATATTCATTAAGCACAAAACAATAACCAGAGGCTGGCAAGCTCAGAAAATGTGGTGTGGAGCTGGAAGCCAGGTGTTACTAGAGGCCCACAAATACTCGCTATATGTCAGCTGCCAGCTTGTTAATTTATAAATTATAAGTCTCTATTAATTATACAATTAGCTCTTAAAAATTCTGCTTATAGTTGTTAGCTCAGTGTACAGTCTTGCTTGACATGGATAGGATTTGTTTTATCCTCTAGGAAGACAAGCAAACCTAAGTACTCTTGGTAGTTCAGAAGCTGTTGCACTAAAGTTAAAGTCCTCTGATGTTTTCTAGGGTGCACAAAGAGCTTCTCTCCTCTTTTGAAGAGTTTCGTGGTGATAGAGCATTGCAGTAGCTGCTGAGAAATTGCTTTTTTTAATTTTTTTTCTTCTTTTCATACAAATGTAATGCTGATGTGGTTTCCATGCACAAACTAAAGGTCAGTGATAGATATATAGATATATATTTATAAGGCAGAAGCTTGCTGGACATCTTGGAGTTGTGTGCAAGCCACAGCTTTCTGGTAATGCTTTTGCAGAACAGGAAGATCAGTTTCCCAATAAGCTGTGGTTTGTTATCTCTGATATAGACACTGTCCTGGCTGTCCCCCAGGCTTCCTGCAGGTCTGCAGCTGACCACTTAAGATCCCATTTCCACATCTAGAGCAGGAAAGGATTCGGAGAGAGAGTGCTTTGCACCTTGGTGGGGCAGTAAAAGTCGGGGTTTGTTTGACCACCATAGGAAGGGACCTGCAGAGCTGGTGGCACTCAGGGCTGACCTCCAAACCTGGTGGGTCTCTCCAGGAGGATGGCCAGGAGATGGGGCTCAGATGTGAGTTGGTGGTGGCTCCGAGTTTCTTCCGAACCAGGTTGAATTTGCAAAGCTTGTACATAAAGGTGCCATTGATACATAAACACGTACGCCTTTGTGCTTGTAGAAACCAGTGATGGCTCTTCCATTCAGCCCTTAGTTAAGAGGTTCATTTGAGTGGCAGAAATGTGGATTTACACTCTAATCACTTAATATTTTGAAAAGGCAGGTAACAACTGATGAGCCTGGATTGGGAGGGGCTGGGGAGGCGAAGGACGTGGCTGCTGTGTATTGAAGGATAGTTGCTATCATTTTCCATTACCCACTTGTAGTGGTGGACATACAAGCAGTTGAGCAGCCAGAGGGACAGGAGGCCTTTCTTGGACCTCAACACAGGGAACATTATTTCCAATTGTCAGCCTTTGTCCTCTGCCCTTTTGCATTCAATGCAGCAGTGCAGGAACTGTGAAATACAGTCCTGAATATCTCTGAAGCTCTGAATTGCTTGACTTGGCTTTGAATTTGGGTGGTGTGTTTTTGTATATGGCGTACCTTTTATTGCTGCTGGTTTTTTACAGTCCTAACAATGGGTAGCTGTTCTGTTTACTGAACTTCTTCATTGTTTATGGTTTTGTTTTTCCCATCACTCAGGATTTGATGCAGGAAATAAGTGAATTGCGATTGAGAGTGGGAGACATGGACAACGAAAGGCTCCAATATGAGAAAAAACTGAAAACAACCAAAGTAAGTCACGCTGAGGGGAAGAAGGAGAGACAGTTGTCAGTCAGGCTTTAGAAGTTTGTTCTCTTTTTCCCAGCCCTTGCCTGCACGCTGCAACATCCTGAGCACACTCAGGCCCAGGGGTTTCATGGTAGTCACTTAGCAACAGGGGTTGTTTCCAAATTTCATGCTATCGTTTTTCAGATCTCGTCATTGTTTTTTATGAAGGATAACTTGCCATGCAACTGGCTGTTAACAGTAAATTTATTACTTGTTTAGACCCTTGTTTCACATGTATCAAGAAACACCAGTTGTAGTACAGAAGTCATGTGACTAGGTGTGACCAAAGCTGAGCATTTGTTTTTTCCTAAATGTGTTAAAAATCAGCCACTTCTGAAGAGAAAGCATTCACCTAAGTAATGCTAGCAGCCTGTTTCTGTAAGTGTCTAACTTTTCTTTGCCATTTAGCCTTGTCTCTTTTCTATCTTTAGTTTTCTCTCACTCCTCTGTCTCTGTTACCAGTCTTTAATGGCCAAACTTTCTAGTATGAAAATCAAAGTGGGTCAGATGCAGTATGAAAAGCAGCGGATGGAGCAAAAAAGCCAGATGCTAAAGGTGTAGTAGTTTCTGGATAACATTGGGCCTGTTTTGAATCCTTCATGTTGTACCATTTTATGGTCTGTCTTACATCATGCTGTCATGTGCTGTTCTTCATTAATTGTTGTATGTTGATATGCAATGCACCCCTTCTCATTAGATGTGGAAAGCTCTTTATGCAGATATTCCTTGTAAACAGCTTATATACTGGATGGGAGAGGATTTTAGTGTTGTATACTTCACATAAGTTACACATAATGGAATTAGACTCTGGTTAAAATAATTTCCCTTTCAAGGGAAGATTGCCTCTTCTGTAGGTTACATCCACTATTCAAACAGAATTTTTTCTCACCTTCTTAGAAAAAATTTATTAACGGAAACTAGCTAGAAAATAATTACTCTTTTACACTCTCCCTTCTCCCATGTCTATATTCACATATCATGTTTCTAATCAGGGGAAGAAATACACATTGACAAACACGTGCAGCTCTATTTGCCCATGTGTTTAACAGCAGCTTTTCAAGTGACCAAGATGGTCTTGTTTTGGTGAAACATGGATCCTACACTGGCAGAAGTCCCATTAAAATCAGAACCAAGCTGGAGCGCTGGAGGATTGTATTGCCCAGCTATTACTCTGGAAAAAGCTTTGATTTTTTAACAGTTTTAAAATCTATCTATTATTTTCAAGATGCTTTAGAGCAAACAGGTACCAATTTCAGGAAATTCTGTAGTCTGAGCCGTAGTTTAGGGGGAAGCTTAGAAATATACCTAAGCCTCAGTATTCTAGTTTGGTTTATTCCTTTAAGAATTAAAAACTTCAGTTAGAAGCTGTAAATGCCCAAGTTATGAGTCTGCCTTGTTTTGGTTTTGTTTACAAAGAACAAATTACATCTTCAGTGTTGAGTACATTTGCACTGAGGGTCTTGTCTTGATGATGTTGTTGCACAAGATATCCTTGGACATCAAAGAAACATGTTACTAAACTAGGTAGGATTTGACTCAAATTTTAAAAAGTTAAATGTGTGGGTCCGTGCCAGTCACTTGCTAGTGCAGATGGTTAGATCTAAGTTAAAATTTGACAGCATTTATCTAATACACCCCAACTCCCCCAAATACCATCTGCTTTATTTCCATGAATCTCAACTCTAAGCTTTCTTTCCTATTGCCTGATTAACAAATCCAGATTATGGCAGAGGTACCACATTTTCATCTGAATTGCTTTCCAGTATGTGTTTGTGTGCTTGATGGTGGTGTGATTGATTTTACTTTCATAGAAGCAGTGGTTATTTCTGAAACTGTCCTCAGCCTGGTGCAAGAACTGTTCCATCATTGTCCAGTTTCAAACATGCAAAATGCCTTATAAATACCAAAATAAGCATTCAAAAGTTTTAGCACTCAGCCTCATCACCTGCACTTTTTCTGTCTCTTCAAGGTTAAATAAATAAGAAAACTGGGGTTTTTTTGGTTCTTTTTGCTTTACTCTGTCTTTTTTTAAATTTACATGTAAAATGTCTTTTCAGTGATACTGACGCTTTCAGACCATAGGCCCACTGGTTTTGCCCCCTTATGGACTCAGCAGTCTGTAGTGATGTTCAGAGTCAGATTGGTGTGTGTACCCTCAGCCAGTGTAAATGTCAGGGGGCCCTTGGTCATCTCCACCAGCTGAGGACCTGTCTACTGTATTTTGGAAACATCTCATGCATGTGGAAGCTGTCACTGAGTGACTCTGTGTCTTACAGGATGAGCTAGCAGCTTTGAAAGACAAACTAGAGCAGAAGGAAGCTGAAGTAAAAAGGTTGCAAGAGAAATTAGTTTGCAAGCTGAAAGGAGAAGCAATTGAAATACTGGACAGAGGTAAGAAAAAGGGAGGCTCTCTCACCGTGTCTTCTTCAGTTACCTCATCTGAGGTCATGTTTCCAGGAATACAGGAAATAACAGATAAAAGCTTGAATTTTCATATAGTTTCTGACTTGCATGTTTACTTCTTCTAATGAATTTAGCAG